TACATATAAGTACAACCATTTTTGCCTAACAATTTTAACAGATATAATAATAATAATAATAATAATAATAATAATAATAATAATAATAATAATAATAATAACAATAATTATAATAATAATAATAATAATAATATTATTATTATTATTGATAGAGCTACTAATGCTTAATAATATAAACATTTTCCGTGTTTTTTTCTTTGTTTCTTTTCATTAATTATCTATTTATTCATTCGTCTATTTACTAAGTGTTCTTTATCTGGGTATTTTTGGTTCTACTGATATTAGTAATCGAGTCCTGTCGACTTAAAATAAGAGTCATGTGTCCGAGGCCCTGTCTCAGCAATCCGAAAACTGTCAGCTCGAAGATACACTGTCACAACCACTCAAAAACTTCCTACTGCCTGCCAATTGTCAAAGACTAGATCTGGGGTTCTCAATCTGAACACGAGGAGCCAGAAAGATCTGTTGGGGGTCCCTAGTGTAATTCAACCACGATTGATCTATGGGAAGAGAATAACAATTTGATTCGACCTGGCGATTTTTGAGAATGTAAATTAAGGAGTTACAGTGATTTGGTATTCAATTATTTTACCAAGTATTACTACCAGTAAACATTATAAAAAATCAACCCACCACAAGGATTCAACCCTGAGACCCGAGACCGTAAAGATGAGACTTAGATTTAGTTGGAATACATAATCATTTTAGTGTTTCTTGTTATTGTAGGTATTATAGTTTGCCGTTTCATGTTTAACTGTTATCGGTTTTACGTCACGGGCCCTCTTAACTGCTAAGGGCTAGGACGTTGCCTTCTTGCGAAGGGCTTTGGTTTTAGCAAGTGTGACCGTTACCCTGAGGGAATGCCCTTTATAACCTCAGACCATGGGGGAGAGCAAACCTTTGACCTGATGAATCAAACTCGCAAACGTTACTACTCTGCCACGGTGAGCGCGCCATTTTATGCGTAACTACTAATCTCACGGGCTGAGGTTAGTAAGGGCATACACTCAGGGTAACGATTACATCTGCCAAAACAAGTCCTTCGCAAGAGGGAAACCGTCCTAGCCCTTAGTTGAAAAGGGAGTTCGCGACGTAAAACCGAAACCAACCATACTAAACTCAATGACGAAAGATGGACACAAACAAGGGTGACAGAACTACTCGGTGCTTTGCAAGGGTTGCAAGTGGAGAAAGAAGGTTGAGAACCAATGGGTTACACAGGCGCAACCACTAAAACACCGTCAAAGCTTGACAGGCATGGCGCCAAATTCAACGCCTAATATGGAAACTTGAACGTAAAATTCACATTTCAGTTTTACAAACTTTTAAGAGAACAAGCAATGCCTGTGTCACGGTTGTGGCATGCTCTGTATTTAAAATTACTCACATAAAAATGAGAATTCAGAGTCTGAACTAGATTGTTTGTATGTTACGGTTATACGTCACGGACTCCCTTTTCTACCAAGGGCTAAGACGGTTGCCTTCTTGCGAAGGACTTGTTTTCGAAGATGTAATCGTTACCCTGAGTGCATGTCCTTACTAACCTAAGACCGTGACGGGGTGCGAACCCTCGACCTGACGCCTCCAAGTCGCGGACGCTACCGCTTGAGTCACGGTGACTACAGTCTGAACTAGATTGTCACAGTCACTAATAGCCTGTTATACCTTAGACTACCACAGTCTTAGAGAGAGAAGAGTATGGCTACTCACTCCCCAGATACCAACTTGCCACAGTGCCCCTTAACTTTGGGCTTCCATTAGAGCCAAGCACAGGCAGCCTGTGTCACTAAGCGCGGATGGCGAGCAAGAGATGAGCCTTTTTTTTTTTTATGAGTGTGACACCGGGGACAGACAGAAACAGCCCTCATCAATAAAGGCCCGGGCACGAGAAAATTCCAAGACGAAGGAAAAGAAAGAGGTTAAGGACAAGGCAGAGATGAGGTAATGTCACACAAAGGAAAACGACAGACAGAAAAAAGTCAAAGTACAGAGGACCCAGAGATATGGAGGACTAGGCTCTGAGATGACGATAGATCTGCTTTTTGAAGGATGAAAGGTCATAAGAATTAGGAAAGACAGAAGGAGGAAGAGAGTTCCAGAGTCTGGGATGTATTATGGCACTTTGATATGACCCAGCATGGCTAAGCTCTTCAGCTGTCTACTGTTCTGGACCAAATCACTCGAAAACTGGAAAACTGAGTCTGGACTCTAAGGAAACAATGATTACATACTTAACTCAACGAAACAGTACCTTGTTCACACCCAACTAATCAAATAAATTAACATACCCATATTACTTACATATTTCATATCCATAAATATATTTTGGCAAGTCCACTCCGCTTACCTGAAAATATAAAAAAAATATAATCATTAACTTTTTGCTAACAATATTAAATGTAACCATACATTCAAGTAAAGCACTAGATTATTTGTTTTTTTAGTTCACACACCGTTCAAGCCAATGTCTATTCTATCGTAATTAAACAATTTTAATTTATTTTTATAAGCATAACAGTGTAACTCGATGTCTCTTAATATTATATAATACATGAGAGCACACAAAATATGTACATATCTGCTACAGAAATTCTCTCTCTCTCTCTCTCTCTCTCTCTCCTCTCTCTCTCTCTCTCTCTCTCTCCTCCTCTCTCTCTCTCTCTCCTCTCTCTCTCTCTCTCAAGTGCATAATCATATGAAATAATTCTAAGCACTTATATGATTTTTTTTCATATTATAAAAAGAAGATACGGAAGGTCAGTTTGTGTACATATAAAGCCAACAACAATAATACGGAGAAAAAACAACAACAACAACAACAATAATAATAATAATAATAATAATAATAATAATAATAATAATAATAATAATAGTAATAATAATAATAATTATTATTATAATTCTCTTTTATTCGGTTTTTAAGTCACGGACTCCCTTTTCTACTTAGGGCTAAGACGGCTGCCTTCTTGCGAAGGACTTGTTTTGGCAGATGTAATCGTTAACCTGAGTGCGTGCCCTTACTAACCTCAATCGTGAAGGGCGCGAACCCTCGACCTGCCGCCTCAGAGTCGCGGACGCTATCATTAACCACGGAGACTCATTATTATTATTATTTACGATAGTAACAAATACTTCACTGTAAAAATACCAGCAATAACGAACTGTCACAACTTTATTTAATTTAACTGTATGTATTACCCTCTTACTCATTAGTTCAATTATTGTAGAAGAATAACCACTGTACAAAAATGGAAATAAATGTTTGTTTGTTTGTTTGGTTGTTCATTTCAGTCTCCTTCATTTACAAGCCATCCGTGTGAAAAACATTCAAGTTTTGGCATCTCAAACAAAGTCGATGTTTTTTCATTTCGTGTAACAATTAGTCCCCATTTGGATGCGTATGGATACACAGGTTGGAGCTGGGGGATTACAGTTGAATGCCCTTCCAAATGCCCGTCGGTGGGATCCAACCAACTTCTGTCAGGCAAGTCACAACCTGACTTGCGCACTCTACCACTGAGTTGTCTGGCCGCCTTAAATATGAAAAAGAAACAATAGAAACATTCACAGTATACATGAATCGTCACGTACAATGACCGCCCTGTTTATTATGCAGCTCAGGGAATGGTGGATTTCTTCTGTAAAATTAATATGCACTTGCTTAAATATGCATGCTATATTTAAAAGCTCGGGTGAGAGAAATAGAATCCATACCACACCAGGATAAACAAACAAACATTTATTTCCATTTTTGTACAATGGTTCTTCTTATACAATCTAAAAGTAACTTATAAGTAGATATATAATTGAAATAATAAGTAAGAGGGTAATACATACTGTTAAATTAAATAATGGTTTCCTAGAAAATAATAATACTGTAATAAAAAATTTAACAATAATGTTAATAATAAAGTAAAATTAACTTATAAGTAGACATGTAATTATACTAATAAATAAGAGGGTAATACATATAGTTAAATTAAATATAGCTTTCATAAAAAATAATAAAGCTGTAATAAAAATGTTAACAAATGTTAATAATAAAGTGGTAATAATAACACTATATACAGTATTGTTATTATCGGCATCATTTTCATATTTGTTTTCATTACAATGAGAATAATTAGTTCTTAACGAGCAGCAACTATTTGTCCAAAAAATATATATATATAGTTTGCCTTTGAAAGCTGTGAAGGAGGATGCATTTTTAAGATGCTCTGGAATATTGTTCCAAAGTGTTGGCCCTTTGATAGTGATCATCTTTGAACCTGCTTCTGTGTTTGTTCTGTGAATACAAAGCTCATTGCTCTGTCTAGTGTTGGTTCCCCTTATATTCCTGACTGTTTTTAAATCAAATAGCCAGCTAGGATAATGATGGTCCAAAATTTTGAATACAAAAACATAAATAGCATAAGCGACCTTATTTTCTGCCCGCAGCCACCCAAGTTTATTGAGAGCTGGTGTGATGTGGCCATATTTTCTTATTCCTCCCAGGGCAACTCGAGCTGCGAAATTAATAAGCTTCTGTATTCTGTGTATCTGAGTCTTAGTAGTAGCTCCCTCAAACAGTTGTGCAGTAAGTAATGTGACTTAGGGCTAGAGATTCAACAACAGTTATTCGAGTGGTAGTCTCAAAATTGTCTTTTATACGTGATAAGTACATTAATGTTCCTGTAACCTTTTTGCATACTTTTTCTATGTGGGAATCAAACAACATGTAGTTATCAAAGTGAATTCCTAGGTTTTTGACTGTTTTGCTAGGTGTGATAATATTGTCGCAAAAATTAATTGTTGTGTTTTCTGGAATTTGTGCTATATGGAACCTTGAACCGATAAATATGCACTGTGTTTTACTTTCGTTAATTAACAGCCCAATTTCTTGATAATAGGTTTTAATTTTTGACAGAGTGTTTTCTGCTCTTAAAGTTAGCTCTGGGAGATTATTAATATCACCACTAAGGAGTAGTTGAGGAGGTCCTAGATTCACATTCCACATAGCCTCCTGGATAGTACAGTGGTAACGCGGTGGCCTCGCATTCGCTAGGTCGAGGGATCGTGCCTCGTCCAGGAAAGAGAGTTTAAGCTGTTTACTGGGGAGATTACTGCTGTGGCTAGGCACCACAGTGGGAGGTTGGGGCCTGTGCCGGCTGGCGACCGCCCTATGGGTTCTTCATGACCCGTTTCACCCAACCGTGGGTGGAGAATCTAAAACAACATCCCACACAAGGTGCTTCATCTCAGAGGCGTGAGGTGGACACTGTCAACTTTACAGGCTTTATAAGTACAAAATTAGATATGTCAGCGATAGCGGACTAATCCCACATTCTAAGGCTTCAATAAAGGTAAAAATGGACGTTACATACTTCATGTAGAAAAAAAGTGTTGTGTACATATTGATCTTTTACGTACATAAACTGTATCTTTTAATCAACTCATCATGTACGTGACGTTCATGTTTATATTAAGCAAAACTTTTATTTTCAAAGACCACTATGGTTACTCTGCACATGAGTGTGCAAAGAAAGTTACATGCATCAGTGGACAACATACATGATGTTTTGGAAGATTTAAAAGATTCCGGTCTAAATTAAAACAGAAATACATAATATGTATATATATATTATATATATATATATATATATATATATATATATATATATATGTATATATATATATATCTATACATATTTATGTATTTCTGCTATATATATATATATATATATATATATATATAGTATATATATATATATATATATATATACATATTTATGTATTTCTGTTATATATATATATATATATATATATATATATATATATATATATATATATATGTATATATATATATAAAGTCAACATAGGCATTTAGTTTAGTATACAGGTATACATGTCTTTCAAAAATTCGTATATTCAATGACAGTTCAAAGATATATAATATGAAATAAACTCCTCCCCACTTCCTCATTCATACTCATCCATTTTGAGAGCTACAACTCTTTGACCCAAGCCTCCGCCCCTTGCATAAAGCTGAGATGCGAAGTAAACAAAGGCATTCGTTTTCTAGCAGATACGTATACGACACTTCCCCTTTCAGCAACTATTGGTGTTATTATGCGTTGTTGTAAAAGGGGACATTGGAGGTATTTTCGTTGCTATTGTTGATGTTACAGTTATTAACATAACATTGAGAGCATTTGTTATGCCAGAAATTTTATTTTTGTTAATATAATAGTAGTTCCTTCCCAGGGTGGTAGGAACTGGAAGCTTAGTAGATTTAACGAGCATACAGTAAGATATATGAGGTCAATGATGGACTGGTAGTTGTTACAAGATCAACGAATGCCACACACACACACACACACACACACACACACACACACACACACACACGAGAGAGAGAGAGAGAGAGAGAGAGAGAGAGAGAGAGAGAGAGAGAGTGTTACTTCCGATATTGATACTAAGTGCGTTTCTTCCCTCAGCAGCTGTTCCGGGTGCTGCCACTCCTTCATCTGTTGCTGTTAAGTAGCAGCACATCCCTAGGCTCTCTACTTCACGCCCGTGCGGACAGCAATGGAAATAAGAACCGATCGAGGAATCGGCACGTGACTAGGAAAGACTTTGAAAAATAAAATAAACACAAAAATTAAATACGATGAAGAAAAATATATATATATGTAATAAATATATGAAATGCTGAATTACAAAAAAAAAAAAAATTTACTTGATAAAAAAAATGTAGAAAAAATCAATATATTAATGAACTTAAAAATGGAAAATGAAACAAAAATTTAACCTGACTATATAATGACATTATTAAAAGTGTATGGAAAAAGTACATACAATATAAGAGTACAATATTTATGGAAAAAAAAAAAAAAAATATATATATATATATATATATATATATATATATATATATATATATATATATATATATATATATATATATATATATACTAATAAAAAAAACAAATGATTTCAAAACATTGCAGGAAAAATATGAAAAATCTGAATAAAATTAAAAATATTTAAAATAAACTGTAAAAATAAAATAAAATAAAATCAAGGTATTAAAATAGATAACAAAGAAATAAACTCAAAAGAGCAACAGGACGGCCATTATTTCCCTCATGGAAAACTCAGCTCTTAAAGATGCTCTTCCACCACTGGACCTATATATAGCATCTAAGAGTGTTCTCGCTTTTCCACCTGAGTTGACAAGGGATCCCAGCACATGCTAGACCCTACAACCCTCTCCTCATGTGTTCAAGAGATTTGGTGCATGTGTGAGCGCGCGCACACGCATGCACGCACACACACACACACACACACACACACACACATAAATATAAAGAACGGGGCAAGTACTGATAGTAGCTAATAGGATTATGAAGAAAAAAACTCCCATTCGTGTAATATGAATACTTTTAATTAAACGCGATTAAGTAAAAACAAAAATAATAAGAAAATAAGAAAAATGTAAAAGAAGATAAAATGACAATAGATATTAAATATATAATACATAAGTTATAATCGATTCAGATGTAGAAAAAAAATTAGAATTACTAGTAGCAGAAAAGAGAGAGAGAGAGAGAGAGAGAGAGAGAGAGAGAGAGAGAGAGAGAGAGTGTGATGACCAAGGGCATACAGGGGCCAGAGTTCGAAATCATGAGTAATGAGGGTCATCCGGTGTTGATGAGTGACCATCTCCTTCTCACCCATCTACCTCATAGTCATCATCATCATTACATCCATCACTCACTCACTCACTCGCCTATACTCATTCAGAATATACTTACTGGCTATAGTATGATACTCAAATTCATTAAAGAAGTAGTTAAAGTCTACTCCTATCTACTTCATTGCTATTTGTTTTATTCATTCACACTCTACTCACTCATTCACTCTTCTAACTCATTCACTATTAAGGCTACGAACAAAAAAAAAAAATTTACTTATGGAAGTAAATCCTTCTTCCCATCTACCTCACCACTACCATCATCACCATCACTCACTCGCCTTTTCTCATTCTCGCCACTCAAGCAGAATCTACTTATCTACTACAGAATCGTGAAAACATTTATAATGGAATAATAATAATAATAAGAATTTATAGGAGATGAATCTCTTTCCTATCAACCTCATCACAATCATCACCATTTCTTTCTATTACGAATAACATTCATTCACTCGCATTACTCATGCACACCATTCATTCAGAATATCATTACAGGTGATTGGAAGATAAAACCATTAATAAAGTTGTAGGAACCAATATCATTCTTCCATCAATGGCAGTGAAAGATCTTGTTCACTAATTTTTCAATCATGTCTTCTCATTCTCACAATATATACATATATATATATATATATATATATATATATATATATATATATATATATATATATATATATATATATATATATATATATATATATTCGATGTCTCTATTATTATTATTATTATTGTTATTATTATTATTATTATTATTGATCATATAATAATAATAATATTATTATTATTATTATTAATTATTATTATTAATTATTATTATTATCAATAATAATAATAATGATAATAATAATAATAATAATAATAATAAAATAATAATAATAATGTAGTGGAGTCGAAGAAGGAGACAATGCATTTATTCAATATTTTATTCAAATAACTGTACATGGGGGCATGTGCACACAGACACTCCCAGTGATATTGCAGTTATTAAACATTACAATCTATATTTGGTCATCCAATTAAATTTTTAGAGCTTTGTCTCCAAAATATCGATAATAATAATCAACAAAACAATACAAAATATAGTATGTAATAAAATAAATACACAAACTGGACAACTGAACTAAAATAAAGTATAAAAATAAAGTTATGAGATGAAATAAATATATATAAATGAATGAATCATGAAAGTCGAAGTAACGGGCAAGATGAGCTTTATTGGCTGTGTTGGGTTTCTTATTTTTATAAACATTGATTCAGCAATCCTAAGTTCAAGGAAATTGTTATTTATACATAATATTTTATAAATTAGTTAAATTACTGAAGCTATTACAGATAAAAAAACATGTTCTCTAATACTAGAATTTATAGCATTACAAGCTGCTTTTTCGTTCTTGTACTGACTCCTCTGTGTTCATCCACCCTTACACGTACATTCCTAGAGGTGGAGCCAACGTACTCAGATAAACAATCTGGGCATTTATAGCTAAAAACAATGCAGGAAAAACAGGGAATCCGCAGTTTTGTAGTTACGACAATCATCTAATACATTCTTAACTTTGAAGTGGTTAAACAAGGCAATTTTGAAGTTAATTTGAGGACGGAATATTTTTAGAATTTCCTGAATATTTCTAACTAATAATTCATTAATATATTTAGAACAATGAAGTAATTTTACATATTTTTCAAGTTTGTTTGGAGAAAAACAGCAGTTTCCTTTGATAAAAACTTGGAGTTGAAGAAACGCTATAAATACCTGTAGAAAACTGATATGGGCTATCCATTATTATGTCTTCAAAAATTCGATTTCGACGCATACTCTCACCCGGTTTTGTGTGTGAATATAGATGTGTATGTAGATATGCAGATATGTATGTGGGAAGGACCAATAATTATTTTTGATGAAATGAATACCACAAACTCACTCTCTCTCTCTCTCTCTCTCTCTCTCTCTCTCTCTCTCTCTCTCTCTCTCTCTCTTAGCTATGTATAATTATGAAGCCACAGGGTGATACTTCTATTTACTCATCTAATCAGTTATTTATATGTGTATGCGTGTATATAACATGTGCAATGCATGTATATGTACCTACTTATTACTCTATTCTGAACATTGTTATCCTATTATCTACTTCTAATTGTCTGTAGTGTTTATGAGGTATCATTAGAAAATCTTCTATGTAAAGTGGAGATTTGACTTAAATGATAGCACTCAGTAAGGGCTAATAAAAAAAAACTATTACTACATGTATAGTAACCTAGAATTATGGTACCTATCACCCGCTAATATGAATACGATTAAATGTTACTAAACATACATATTGTATACTGTATTTTAT